TCATACCCAGATTATGTCGACGATAGTTCCATAAATAATTTTTTATTCGAAAGTCAAAAGAAGGTAACTTATACCATCACTTTGTTGTTTAATTCCTCTCGTCACTTCCGCTGCATGTTAGATGGTATTATCGCAACGAAGTGTTTGAGGTTTCAGATATTTGAATGAAATTGACTGTAATTTCCTCAGATGGTATACTGGTGTTGCCCGAGTTTTCGCTTTTAGAAGTACTAGTGGATTTATTCAAACTTTTGCCCTCAGCAAAATCAGTGGCCTAGCGAGTAGCAAATTTTTGAGCTACCAATTATGGTGATTGCAGCATTTAGTATTGCAGCCTACGTTTTATTAGCCTGGAAAATGGTGTAAATGAATGCCTTTCAAACTATTTTGTCATCATTTAGAGTGTAAATGTCATTTACAGTCACTGAAGCTATACGTGTGTTTCATATTCAAATTAACCCATAATAATATATCACGAATACCGACAACCGTATATGCTTGTTTCGTCGACCTACGCTTCAAATTTCTCATTGGCATACTCAAGCCTAATAAAACCTGTGAGTTTGCGTAATCGCAAGCATTCAAGGTTTCCTTTGACAGTGAACGTTTAGTTTTGCTGTGAGGTAGTATAGGGCGGTGGGTGGAGGATAGGTGAGCTGAGAGAAGGGCCAGGGGTTGGGAATTGGAAGGTTTAGGTAAATAGGTAGTGGGTAGAGGATAGGAAGGCGAGGGGATAGGTAGTGGAGAGTAGCCAGTGGATCGAGGAGAGAAACGTCATGGAGATAGTCAGTGGGTTCGGTATAGGTCAGCTGAGAGAAATACGGCAGTGGGTTGTAGATAGGAAGGCGAGGGAGATATGACACGGGTACATGTAGTGAACGGTCAGGGGAGAAGTCAGTGGGTTGAGGGAGATAGGACAATGAAACGAGATTGGGGAGTTGAGGTAGATATGACAATGAGTCGAAGTTAGGAAGATAGGACAATGGGTCGGGGGTAGAAAGGTTGGGGAAAAAAGAGCAGAGGTAAGTAGCAGTAGAAGGAGGTGAAGAATAAAGGACGCAAATTCTCTCGCGATTTTGCATGCGATTAATACGTTGCGTCGACATGAACATATATATAACATCTGAACAATGAGTTTTTTTAACGTATTAAAAATGTAGGATGGGTGGGGTGTACCAGATTTTGAGAAAGGGTTATATGGGTGTACCATTGCAAAAAGCTTGACCAGCACTAATTTAAATCGTCATTTTTACTGAGCTGCAAAACATCTAAATATTAATTAGTTTTGATATAAATTAATTAAACGTAAACGACCTCTTCATTAATTCAAGTAATTTATAGGTGATCTAAAGTTCTATTCACAGCTAGCGGCAAAAACGTGCTTTTCTAAGGATCAGTATCAAATCAAAACGTCCTGTCCGATTCGTTATGGTATTGCGCTTCATAAGCGTATCCCTTGAGAGGGTCGCTTTTTTTATATATATTTTCACCTCGTTTTTTTTATTCCTTTACTAACATGTCTGGAATCCAGTCCAATGACTTCATACCCAGATTATGTCAACGATAGTTCCATAAATAATTTTTTATTCGAAAGTCAAAAGAAGATCACTTATACCATCATTTTGTTGTAGAATTCCTCTCGTCACTTCCGCTGCATGTTAGATGGTATTATCGCAACAAAGTGTTTGAGGTTTCAGATATTTGAATAAAATTGACTGTAATTTGCTCAGATGGTATGCTGGTACTGCCCAAGTTCTCGCTTTTAGAAGTACTAGTGGATTTATTCAAACTTTTGCCCTCGACAAAATTAGTGGCCTAGCGAGTAGCAAATTTTTGAGCTACCAGTTATGGTGATTGCAGCATTTAGTATTGCAGCCTACGTTTTATTAGCCTGGAAAATGGTGTAAATGAATGCCATTCAAACTATTTTGTCATCATTTACAGTGTAAATGTCATATACACTCACTGAAGCTACACGTTTGTTTCATATTCAAATTAACCTATAATAATATATCACGAAAACCGACAACCGTATATGCTTGTTTTGTCGACGTACGCTTCAAATTTCTCATTGGCATACTTAAGCCTAATAAAACCTGTGAGTTTGCGTAATCGCAAGCATTCAAGGTTTAGTTTGAAGATGAACGTTTAGTTTAGCTGTGAGATAGTATTGGGCGGTGGGTGGAGGATGAGGTGAGCTGAGAGATGAGTCAGGGGTTGGGAATTGGAAATTTCAGGTAGATAGGTAGTGGGTAGAGGATAGGAAGCCGAGGGGATAGGTAGTGAAACGTTGGTGGAGAGTAGCCAGTGGGTCGAGGAAATAAAGGATATGGAGATAGTCAGTGGGTTAGGCATAGGTCAGCTGAGAGAAATAGGGCAGTGGGCTGAAGATAGAAAGGCGAGGGAATTATGACACTGGTACATGTAGTGAACGGTCAGGGGAGAGGTCAGTGGGTTGAGGGAGGTAGGACAATGAAACGAGACTGGGGAGTTGAGGTAGATATGACAATGAGTCGAAGTAAGGAAGATAGGACAATGGGTCTGGGGAAGAAAGATCAGAGGTAAGTAGCAGTAGAACGAGGTGAAGAATAAAGGATGTAGGTCGAGGATAGAAAGATTTAGGAAGATAAGACGTGGGGAGAATGGTGGGTTGAGAGCAGGGGAAGACAAAAATGTTCAGTATAAGAGCCGCATGCAGAAAGACAGAAATGTGTGAGAGCCGCATAATTTTGAAGTATTAATATTAGAGCTCATTAAATCATCCACATTGTATCTGTTACATTGGCACTAATTTGGAATTGCGCATTTTATGTAGTGAGACGCGAAACCAGCGTTTGGACCATTACACGATTCGTGTTGTTAGGATCCGACACTGCGTCAATATCAACAATATTTTTATCACAAAATCACATTCAGAGTATGGGTGTTTAGCACGAGCAATATTCCATGATATAACAAAACTATTTTCCGTTGTTGCATCGGA